CTTCGCTGCAGCTTTGGAAGTGCTGCTCTGGAAGAAAGGGAGGAGGATAGGCTGAAAGAAGTAGGGGAGACCAGTCCGCAGACTGACACAGATCAGCAGAGATTCCTGGCTCCTGCATGCCCACCAGTGTCCTTATGCGCCCACTCTGCCTGGCACAGGGTCCTGGGTGGGCATCAGAGTGCCAGCTGGCTCTCGACTTGGAAAACTGTGAAACACTGAGATTCCAGGATGCCTGGTAAGGTACCAGATGCCTGGTAAGATACCAGATGCCTGGTAAGAACTCCCTCTGGACACCTCTCCAGTGAGGCCTAACCCACTCCCCTTCTCTGGGAGGAGTGGTCCTGCCCTAGGAGACCTCCCCCACCTCTGAAGTCCTTCAGCCTTCAGGGCTCTCTGCTTTCTTGACTTTCTGCCCGCAGCATCAGAGGCCAGAGAAGCAGCAGAGCAGCCTGGGGGTGCCCCAACTGGGCCCCCAGGCCTGATTCCTACAGGGCAGTAGCTCTGGCCCAAGGGTACCTGGCTGGGAAGAACCAAACACCTGTACCTGAGCTCTGTTGGCTCCTGGCCCCCCAGGAGCTTCTTGCCTTGCCTTCAATACACACGTGATGTGCTCGTGCCATGACCCCCAGCCAGCCCACCCCTTAGGAGGCCAGAGGGACAGCCTGGACATCCCCTTCCCACGATGAAGTGCTGAGAGGCCACGTGGGACAAAAATCCTACCCCTGCCCCCTCCCATAGCCTCACACACCAGCTCCTCCAGATCAGAGAGTGCCTCCTCTGGACTCCCAGAGCCGTCCTGGGTGTCCCTTCCCATCCAGGGTGACTCTGGCCTCATTCCACCACCCTGAGGTCCAGATGTGAGCTGAGAAGAGGCCCCCCGTGTCCTTTGGCTGATGCTGCCATCCTGGACACAGCTGAGCACTGCGCCCCCCACCTTAGAGGGACAATAGTCCCAGCCACATGGGGAGTCCTGAGCCCTGGTTATAAGCTTCAGGGACTTGAGATGAACCTGGCTGAGAAGCCACAGGGACTCCTGCCTCCCACATCGATGATGGGTGTTCCTCATGCATCTAGATGGGACCCCTCTCTCCGGTGGGGACACCTATGAATTCTAGGCTTCAGCCAAGTCTGCTTGGGACAAGCAGAAACACTGAAGTCTACAGCTGGTTCCTGTGGGACTGGGGTGGTCTCCATACCCACAAAGCAGGGACTCAGCCATTCCCACTGCCAGAGCCCTGGAAGCCTGCGGTTTCCAGGTTGGACTTCCTTCTCTTTCTTTTCCTCCTTGTCCAAGAGCTGCATGCTCTAAAGTGAATCCTTCAGACTAGCAGGAAGGATGGAGGCCCTGGCCCCTTCTTGGACACAGCCCAGGAGAGGGGAGGGAAGTGGTTTGAGCGAAGCACTGAACTAAGCAGATTTTAGGAGTGTCTGAATCAGACCAAGGGCAGATGGGAGGAAGGCGTGCGAAGATGAGGATCTGGGCAAAAGGCATCCTCATGTCTCAGTAGGGCACATGATACAAGTGGGGGGACAGTTGGCAGAAGGACCAGTGACGACTGCACCAAGAGGCAGGGCAGGGGGCAGGTGGTATGGGGTGGAGGAGGACACTAAGACACCGAGCTGAGCTAGGAGCGGATTGCCGGGACATTTATTTACAGTGGATGGGGAGGAAACTCAAGCAATAGTGAAATCTCAGGATATGAGAGTTGAAGTGAGAAAGAGATGCAGAGATTGGAATTTCTGAGGCATACCTGAGGATTTCAGGGACTCCTGGAGCTGTGGGTTCAAAGTCCGGAGCAGAATCCATGGGCAAAGGGTGGGAGCCAGACTGTCGAGGATTAGGGAAAGGAGAAGGGCAGACCATGGAGCCAAAGGGAAGTAGCACTGGTTCTCGGTGGGCCTGGGGATGGACAAGGGCAGCCGCGGAGCTTCCTGGGACTCAGGCCATTGGAAGAAAGGGTGCAGATTTGGGAGAGGGGGGACATGAGGTCGAGAGGAGTCTCTGTGACAGTGCTGCCCGAGTGGGGGACTTCCAGCTCCCCCCTCAGAGTGCTCCGAGGAGGAGGGTTTAGTAAGAAAGGGGAAGGAAGCCCCAGTTGTGGCGTCCTGGGCCACAGTGATGCTTTCAGACACGGCATCATGTCCTGTGCAGCCAGGAGCCAGAGTGGCAGCATGAAGCCCTTGGTCAGACCACGTGGCGCCTCTGCTCCGCCTGTGCAGCGACCCTGGGGCGCTCTTGGCCCAGGTCTGCTACTGAGGCACTGACTGTCTGTTTGGCTCCACAGAACGGAAGCTCCAGGAGGGCAGGGGAATTTAGACCGAGCTGCCTTTGGTCGGCCACTTTCACCTGGCGTAGCTGAAGTCCTCACTGTGACTCTGCGGTTATTGTTCTCACATTATGGGCAGGACTTGGGGGTCCTCGGAGTCGGAGGTTTGCCCAGGATGAGACCATTCCTGAAGGGAGAGCCAGGGTGTGTCTGGGGCCAGCTGGATCCCAGAGCCCAGTGTCTCACCAATAAGTTCCCAGAAATGGGGGTGAATATCTAAGGGCCAGGCCGCCACGGGGAAGCCTGACAGCCCAGACTGAGGGACCCGGTCTCCTGAAGGGGAGGTGTGGGGGGCAGGTCCCGGGCCTGTGTTGAGGGGACGGGTCTAGAGTCGGGAGGGGGTCTTGTCCGGCTGCCTGCAGGACCTCTAGGTTCTCTCCCCACCACTCACACTGGGCTTTCGGTTCCCTTTGGTGGTGTGGCTCCCCCCACCCCCAACCCCTGCACATACACTCATGTACCATGGCTTCAACCGGAATCAGGCCTCTCACCACACCCTCAATCTGATGCCCCAACCAGGGGAAGTGGGGGCAGGGGCTGTCTCACCGTTGGAAATGAGAGGCGTGGACACACATCTCTGCCGAGGCTCCCGGGGCTGCGGAGGCCACGTCTTCTCGTTCCCTGTGCGACTTGGCCCCACTGCGGGGGAACTTGGAGTGATCACATGGGGTCACTGATGCAGTCTCACTTCCCCTTTGCTTGAGCCTCACCATAAGACAGCATCTGGAAGCAAGGGGACCCTTCAATTTTGGAAGAGCCTGAGAGATGCTCTCTGTCCCCACCCCTTCTTCCTGATGCCATGTCTATGGCCCAGAGTGCTTCTTGGTTCAGGTTCTCCTGAACCTGGGGAAGGCAGGACCCAAGGGGTGTGGGCATAGCCCCTGGCCCTGGAGCTTCATGCCAATGCTGCAATCTCAATAGTACCATCACCTCCCCTTTTACCGCAGGAAACGAGATTCACAGGACCTGCCTAAGGTCCCTGAGCTTGAACACAGCAGAAGTGGATGCCAGCTCAAGGGCAGTACCCCTGCTTCTACACGCAGCCTCCAGAGGATTCTTTTTTTAAAACTTATTTGGCTGTGCCAGGGCTTAGGTGCAGCAGGTGGGATCCAGGTCCCTGACCAGGGATTGAACCCAGGCCCCCTGCATTGGGAGCACACAGCCTTAGCCACTGTACCACCAGGGAAATCCCCCAAATGGCTTTAGACAAAATTCAGAGGCTCTTAGGGTGGGGGTCCTCACCTGAGGACTGGGGATAGTGGTGGGGGCGGGCAGGGTGCAGAATCCTAGTCTTAATCTCCCTTAGACTGTGTGTGTGTGGGGGGTGCATTTAGCAATAAAAGAAGACTCTTCTTGACGATCATTCCAGATACATTTTCTAGTCCAACATAGAATATTTCTTATTAAGCACAACTCACCTCCAGTGACAAAGGTTTGTATTTTGGGGGGAACTATTTTCAATTTAAATAGCAGTTTCACTTTTAAAGAAAGAAATACAGAACAATCTCCCTATCCTCATTTTCTGCATTCACACTTTAAATCTTAAAAATCTTAAATAGTGAAATATTCAGCAGATACAAATAATACAATACTTATAGAAAATTATATTTCTATTTTATGTTAGGGCTACAAGAGTTGGGGAGAAGGAGAGAAATGCAAGAGAGGAGAAAAAGGACAACACATAATGACCAATGATACAGATCAGGGGTGAAGATTAACCCAGGTATTTCTACAGAGATGGAGGCGGGAAGAGAAGGTCAAAGTTCTGATTTGTCAGCTAACTGCTACCCCTGTGTTTATTAAAAACATAGGCGCTAAACATAGGGCAAAGAGTACTTTCTAGAACTTATGTATTTTAGTTTCTATCTAAGATTTAATCGATTGACATAAATTTCCTTCATATAAAAATGTTTTTTATTAAAAATTACTATAGAAAATAGGAGAAGACAGGTGTGGTTCCTGAGTAAGCTGATTCTAGTGGAAATCAGACATTAAACTCCTAAGTGAAAACCAGTGAAGATAAGCCTCAGGGTCTGGGAACCCTACCTAGGAGACAAAGTCAAGGTAAACTTTTCAAAGGAGGTGATGCTGAAAGAAAATTTGAAGAGGAGCAGGAGTTACCAAGTGAAGAATGCTCCAGGGGAGGGAACTGGACAGTGTGAGGGTTGCGACCAGTGAGCAAGGCCTGCCTGTGGAACCAAAAAAACGTTCAGACTGGCAGACGGATGGTCAAGGTAGGGGTACGTGAAGAGGTGGGACAAGAGACCAAGGCGCTGGTCCAGAGAGGTCCCCAAGGCGATCAGGGAGGGGGAGCAGGGGCAGGCAGGTGCGAAGGTTAAGGATTAGAGTAGCCTGAGCATCCCTGTCTGTAGGCACCTCGTGGAGCGAGTGTCTGAGTCTGGATGCTAGTAGCTGGGGACTGGGCGACCCTCGGAAGGGTTCGTGGGCGCGTGGGGCGAGGGCCAGGCGCTACTAGTCCCCCCACCGTGCTCGTACGTGGCTCGGTTGACCGCCAGTGTCCGCTCCGATCTAGAGCTCCCGGAGGGACAGGCTAGAAAGTTCCCGCGCCCAGCCGATCACCATGGTAGGGTGGGGTTGGGGGCTGAGGTTGTGGAACGACTCTTGAGCCTCCAGATTTCTGAAGAAGCCCAGCAGTCCGTCCAGGTCACCGCGCTACCGCGCGTCTCCGCCAGGCCCTGAGCTGCAGGGGAACCAGCCTGGCCCGAGGCTCAGCCCCGTCCCTCGGTCGCTGCGTCTGCGCGGGGACCCCAGGGTGGCTCTGCGGGGCAGGGCGGGGCGCTGCCGGCGCACCGAGGCTGGGCGGCCGCGGCCCAGGGGCGGGGGCGGGTGATGCGGAAGTGGCGAGCGGGCGGGCGGACCCGCGCGGCTCCAGGACAGCGCGGCTCGGCCCCACCGCCTGGCCGAGGTTCCCCGGGCGCAGCCACGAGGGCGCACGGCAGACAGGTAGGTCCCGGTGGCCGCGCGCTCCTCTCCGCGGCCGCGGGGCACCTGCCGGCGGCGGGCTGGGGACTGAAGCGGGCGGGCGGGCGGGAGGGGTCAGCGTCCGGCTCTTCCAGGTGCCCGAGCTCGGGGTGGGGGACGCCCAAGGCAGGACGCGCCCCGCCGTGGTGGGAGCCTCCAAGATGCCTCCTATGTCTTGATCAGAGTGGGGTGCCCCGCACCAGCAGCCTTGGTCCAGAAGGCACCCGAGGAGCCCCGAGGCGCCGCTGCCAGAGGCGCCAGCTCTCCAGCTTCTCTCCCTTCCTCTCGCCTTCGCGGAGGATGGGCAGCGCCCGGCTGCCATGGGATGGGCAGCGCCAGGCTTGGGCCATGGAGGGAAAGCCCCGATTCCCCCTAGAATTCTGTGATCTCCGATCCCCCTTCCCCGGGCAGCCCTCCCCTCATCCTTTCCAGAAAAAGAATGCGGTTTAAGAGGTTCATCTCTTCCTGGATCTTAAGGCCAGTGGAAAGAATTCGGGCAGAGAGTGGGTAGGAAGATGGTGTCAGGCGAGGCGCCGGCTGTCCTTTTACTTGCAGCCTAGAAAAGAAGGTGCTGACCCTCCTAAGCGAGAAGAAGCACGGACGTGATACTTCTTAGACTAGTTTCTCTACGGCCTTCCCCCGAACATCAGAAGGAAACAATCGAGAATCTAAAAGTGGAGGGAAAGTGAGACCAGTGTGACCGTGTTGCGGGATAGGAGACGGTGAACACCTGCGCGGCCCGGGCGCGCAGTTGTCTCTCTGGCCCTGAAGGCACCGGATCTGGCTGTGGGGAGCTGGGGCGGAGGGGACTTCCCTGGCTTCGCCGCCACCCTGTGCCCATCAGAGCGGGGATGAGGGCGGTGGCGCCACCTGAGGAGCGGTCTGAGAGGCAGACCCTAAACCAGCGCTCCGGGCCGGGGAGCGGATGGGGGTAGTTCAGTGGGCTGGGCCAAGAGGCGCGGCCAAGCTGCCCCGGGTGGCACCTGCGGGGACGGTCTTGTGAGCAGAGCCGAGCTGGGGCTCTCTGCGCACCCAGAGAGGGGATGAGTGACCAGGACCAGTAAGGACGAGGGAGGGGTCGATGGAGAAAGCTAGAGTCTCCCGGGAGAGAGCAGGGTTATAGGGCTGGGTACTGGGGCTCCCAGCAAGTCAAGGGAAGCCTTGGGAAACCACCCTTTTTTTAACCCTGGGGTTTTCCCCCCTGCGCCTTGGCCTTACCTCACCATGCCCCCAGAGGAAGCCGAGGGAAGCGTCTTTCTGCCCACATCTGCCGCCCTGGAGTCTCAGCTCCTCTCCCCTGGAGGGGGAGGGGCTTAAGGTCTCGCTGGGCGCAGGGCACCCAAGCCTTCTCCAGGAGTTTGGTGTGAAGTTTGCAGGAAACGTCTGAATCAAATTCAGGAGGTGCAAGGGCTTACTGATCGCGCACTACTGGAGGCTGCAGAGCCTCCTCCCCTAGGGGGTCCCTGGTACCCACAGTGTTTAGGCTTTCCTTGTGGCTGGCTCCTGGGACTTCAGGAGTTGTGGGGCCTGTGCACCTCCGGAGATGCTCCTGGGCTGCCCCTTCCCCTAGAATAGGGCCTTCCTCAGGTCCTCAGCAGGCAACTCCTCCTTTGATGTTTCCATGGAAGCTGATGTATGCTCATCAGTCTTTCCCCCATATTTTAGGGCTCTAATCCACAAGGCTAGTCTGGGGGCTGCAAACCTGCACAGCTGTTGAGGAGTCAGGGCAGACCCCCTGACCAGCCTGCATTCTGATGGGAAGTCAAGTCCTCCCAGCAGCCACGAGGGGTGTGTATGTGTGTGTGTGTGTGTGTGTGTGTGTGTGTAGTTGCTCAGTTGTGTCCGACTCTTTGCGACCCCATGGAGTATAGCCCACCAGGCTCCTCTGTCCAGGGGATTCTCCAGGCAAGAATACTGGAGTGGGTTGCCATGCCCTCCTCCAGGGGATCTTCCCCACCCAGAGATAGAACCTGGTATTCTAGAACAAAGTATTGCAGGCAGATTCTTTTCCTCGTGAGCCACTTTCCTGGTGGGGGAGGGGTATAGGATGGACTTTCTCAGGGCTGTGCTTCTGGGACCCCCTGGGAATCTAAGTGGCTGCTTCTATCTGGAGCCTGCTTCTATCTGGAGCGAAGTAGGGATGGAGCGCTAAGGCACTGAAATTCAGAACTCCTGGCATTCGGATAGCTTGCCTCAGGTCTAAACCCATCTCCAGGCAGGAAGAAGCCTCCTTGGGGAGCTGATGCTGAGCCTGGTCCCGATGCCCCTAGATGCAGGCAGACCTGTGGCTGAAGCTCCCTGTGTGGCATGCTGGGCAGACCCTCTCTTGGCCCTGGCCAGGCTTTTGGTGGGAAGCCCTCTCCCGAGCCCAGCCCTATGCTGCTAGAAGGGGCTGCACCTTACTGCCAAGAGGTCAGAGTTTGTGTTGTAGAGCAGTGCAGCGGGACTTGCCCTGACTTCCTTCTTGCCCTGGGCAGAGAAATCGACCTTCCTGGCCTCTCAGTTCACCACCTCTGGCACAACTGTAGCCTGGACTATGTGTGAGGGTCATCAGGGAAGCTTGCCTTGCCCTCTGTCAACAGAACTTTCCTCAGTCCACCTTCTCGCAGCCAGAATGGCCTGCCGCTATGACTGTCGCCCGTCTGTTCTAGGACCCAGACCTTTGGGAGGTGTGGGGATGCTACATACACAAATTGGATGAAGCTCTCCAACGCTGTGAATCACACAATGGACGATGACTGCCAGCGGGCTTGAGGGTTGGGGGATGGGCTACAGGATGAGAGATGGAGCATTTGGTCGGGGGGACCCAAATGTGATTTTCTCCACATCCCTTCCCTCCCCCAGCTCACAGTGAGTCAGGTTTCCGAGTTGTCCTGTCTGGCCACTTTCGTTTCCCCTAGGGCTGGGTGGAGGCTAGTTCAGAAAGGGGAACCGAGCCACCCATCTTCTGAGACCTGGGGGCAGGGCCGGGTGCTCTCCCATCCTCTCTGTTGCAGCCCAGCACTGAGCACTGCTCTGGGGAGAGGCCCACAGACGAGAGTCCTTAGCAGCGTGGAGGTGGCACTTAGCCGCCACAACTCAGAAAGGTGCTGGGCAGGGAATTTCAGGGGACATTCTGAAGCAGGCCTAGATGATGGTGTGTGTGTGTGTGTGTGTGTGTGTGTGTGTGTGTGTCCCAGTGCAGGCCAGGAAGCCCACCAAGACTTGTGTACTCCCAGAGGCCTTTGCTCCCAGCAACAGTCAGCCTGTGGTTGGGTGGCTTTAGCTGTCAGAAGGTTCTTCAGCAAGGATGTAGTCTGTCGCAGGGGAGGCTGTCTTGGTGTTGACTTGAACCCTAGTCTTTCTGCCACACGGGGGTATTTCTCATCCCCACCCCACTGAGTGTTTACATCAGCCACCCAGATACCTCATTTCCTTCAGTCATCCCTTCCCTGACAGGCCTGCCCATCTCAGACCCTCACCTGCCTCACAGGCCTCACAGCTTTCCTCTTGGGTCTGGTCTCACCTTTGAGTCAGAGGAGGATCCTGGGGACAGCAGGGTTGGTTGGGGTGGCAGTGGGGTGGGGAGAGCGATAAAAAGCTGGAGGACAGACGCTTCCAACATCTGGCTGGCCTTCCTTAGGTCCTACTTTGCTCCAGTAAGTGCAGATGCCCAGGAAGGGCGAGTGGTGAGGAAGAAAGAACGGGAGGCACTTCTGCCCTTGAAGAGGTTGCCCACTGACCTGAAAAGTAAGCAAGATGTCCGGGTGGGGGAGGCAGTGCAGGGTGGAATAAGAGCCCCACTTGTCTCAATGGAGAAGAGTTCAGGGCGGCCCATGGTGCTCTGGAGAGGGAGGTATGAGTGTTGGGTGACCCAGCCCGGAGGGCTAGTGTTTGCACCCTTGTTCCGGGAAGCATGACTTCTGGGAAAGACCCCGGCCCACCCCATCCCTATGCCACCGTCATGGCCACCACTCCCTCTCTGTCCCTTGTGGAGCATCTTCTCCAGGGGACAGATGGACCAAAGAAGTGGGAGAGCAGCGTGCTGCCTGCGCAGTGTGTGTCCTCTTACACACACAATTGCACGCCCACCCAACTCACATGTGCTCAGAAACCTAGGGCCCGGGGTGGGAGGCAGCCTCAGTTCTCATCGTGGCTCAGCCCTTTGTTCCTCCCTTGCCCATCGACAGAGTCTCCTCTGAGTCTCAGGACGGGGGGGCCCTGATGGCTCCGTCCCTTCTGTCACTGACCCTGGGGTGAGGGGCAAGTGCAGGGGAGAAACCACGCAGGAGTGGAGCAGAGTGAGAGCGGGCTCAGGACAGTGAAGAGCAGTTTCGGTCCAGGGTCCGGAGAGGGGCTGGCAGGTGGAGGGGAGGAGGCAGGGACTCCCTGTGGCCAGCTGGCCTCTGACCAGGGAGGCAAGACTGTGGCCCGGGGTGGGGGGTGGCACTGGCTCCCGTGGGGACCCGATCTCTGTGGATCCCACAGCAAACATAAGGTGCTGCTGAATGGAGGAACCAGAGTCTAGGAAATTGCTGCCTCGAAAAGCAGAAGTTCTAAGTTTGGTGGCCACTGTCCTTGCCAGCGATTCAGGCGGTAGATGGAGTTGGCTCACGGGATTTCTTTCAAGATATCTAGGTTAGGGGAGGATGGGAAGCTTCATCCCTGAGGGAAACCGAGGAAGAAAGGAAGCGCTGAGGACTGGGTGTGGAAACCCCTCCCTGACTCACAGGTTCTGCCTTGTCTTAGTGGGGTTTCTTGGAAGTTGGTTTGGTGAGGGAGAGGGAGGGGGACAGGGGAAGCAGGAAGAAAGCTAAGCAAGGATGTGGGCTCAGCCGGAGACTGGCTTCAGCGAGAACCTGTGGGGACCCTGGAGCGCACATCTGCTCCACCTGAAGCAAGGGGGCCGGCCCTTTGTCCCTGTGTGTGTCTCTGACTGTGGGCTGTCCCCCACAGACGGGAGGGGTGGGCCTGGCCCGAGCGGGGCGACTGAGGGCAGTTCTCTCGCGATGGGCAGCTCTGTGCTGTGCTTGGACTCACAGCAGCTGGGGAATTGCTGCCCCGCCAGGCACAGAATGTCTGGGTGGAACACCCCTACAGCTGTGTACCCCTCCTTCCTTTCCCTCAAACACAAAACCCAGACGCAGGGATCTTGTGACAGAAAAGCTGATGGTTGGAGAGGAGAACTGGCTTAAGCATCTGGACAGGCTGGAGAGACTCGGGCCTCCTGTGCTGGGAGGGGGGGTGGGGAGCCCTACGGGCCACGGCTTGGCCCCCTGAAGTGCCCTGACCGCCCCCTGCTCTCTCCGGCAGACGCCTGTGCCATGAACCAGCCGGCCCCCGCTGCCCTGCTTCCGCCCCGCCGCGTGCGGCTGAAGCCCTGGCTGGTGGCCCAGGTCAACAGCTGCCAGTACCCAGGGCTTCAGTGGGTCAACGGGGAAAAGAAATTGTTTTACATCCCCTGGCGCCACGCCACGCGGCACGGCCCCAGCCATGACGGAGATAACACCATCTTCAAGGTAAGCCCTGGGCCCCTGAAGGCCCTTCCCTAGAAGAGGACTCCCCTCTACAGCTCAGACTGGCCACTCTTCCAGCTGCCTTGCGGCCGGCGACCCCAGGCCAGGGCTAAGGGGCTGCAGGCATCACCGCTGGGCAACCTTTCTAACCTGATTCCCGGAGCAAGGTGAGGACTGAGGGGCCCCAGGAGACCTTCGGGTAACTCCTCCTCCTCCTCTTTGTACTTTTTCGTCACACGTGAGTGCCTGTCCAGGATGTACATTTGGTGTACACATGCGCTTAAAGGACAACAGAATTCCCCCATAATCTTAATACTATGAATATTTTTTTCGCTTGTACTATCAGTCTACTCCGTGTGCATATGAAGTGCAAAGATGGAATCGAGCTATAGATTCTATTTTGTAAACTGCATTTTCTACCCAACATCAGGACTGGCTTTTCCACTCCAACAAATGCCACATTCAAATGCCACTGAATGTTCCATAGGAGCAGGGAGCACACTGGTCACCCAGTCCCAGATTTTGGACACCTCAGGTTGCTTTCAGGGTCTCCATGTTGAAGACCACACTGCCATGGACACCCTCTAAACGCTTATCCTTGGCACATCTCAAATGGTTTTCTTTGGGGTTAGTTCCTAGAGTTAAAAACTTCTGGGTCGAAGAGAATGCTTATTTTTAAAGTTTTGGCCATGTATTGCTTAGTGTTTGTCTTTTCAAGGTTCCTTTCAAATCCATTTCTCATTTTTGAATAAGTAACATGGTCACATAATTCAACATTTAAAAAAGTGTAAATTGCAAAAAGTCTTCCAGATGGGAGACAGTCCCCCAGACACCCAACCTCCTCCTTTGGGACAGTTTGTATTCTCGGTTTCTTGTTTATCCTTCCTGAGGGATTTTTGTATATATGCAAGCAAATATGTGCCTATCCTTTCCCCTACTTTTGACAAAAATGGTAGATGTTTACATCTTCTTCTGCACGTCATATTTGGAAGATTACGACATGTCAGTACATAAAAAACTTCCTTCTTTTCTTTTCTTGTTGCTGAATATTCCATTTTATGGGTTGGCCATAATTTAACCAGCCCCCATTGATGGACATTTAGATAATTGAGGGTCTTTTCCTTTTAGAAACAGAGCTGCAATGAATAAGCTTATATATGTAAGCTTTTGTGTGGATGGATCTTTATCTGTCGGATAAATTCCCAGAAGTCAAATTACTGAGTTAAAGGATGGAAACATGTGTAATCTGGAGATCAACCAAATTACTCTCCAAAATAACAGTACTGGGAGTTCCCTGGTGATCTAGTGGCTAGGACTTGAACACTTTCATTGCCATGGCCTGATTCAATCCCTGGTCAGGGAGATGAGATCCCTTAAGCCACATGGTGAGGCCAAAAAAAAAAAAATCATTACCATAATAATACCAACAGCCGAAGTGTACAGAGTCCATCCCAAGGGGAGACAGTTCAGAGAGCTTTACGGGCATTAGGCCTGAGTCTTCACCACCATACTGCGAGGCAGTGCTATGATGGGGAGACCAGAACAGAGAGAGGCAAAGTGACACGACCCTGGCACACAGGTGGCGGTGGCAGATTCCGATCCAAACCTAGTTCTTCTCCAGAGCCCTCTTATCCACCATGTCGTCCCATCCTCCTTAGAGATTATACCTGTTCGCCACCTTAAGACCAGTGAATATGATGCCTTTCAAGGAACCTAGATTTCCTTTAGCTTGTTGGAGCCTTAAGAGACTGGCCTCCTAGCTCCCACTTTGCAGATGGGCACTGGGCTTGGCCTGTGTGATGGTCTCATCCACAGCAGTGACTCCCCTCGGCCCGGAGGGGCTGGGCTTCGGGGAGGGGCCAGGTTCTCTGTGGTCGTCTGTCTTGTCTTCCTGCCTTAGGCCTGGGCCAAGGAGACGGGGAAGTACACCGAGGGTGTGGATGAGGCTGATCCGGCCAAGTGGAAGGCCAACCTGCGCTGTGCCCTGAACAAGAGCCGTGACTTCCGCCTCATCTATGACGGGCCCCGGGACATGCCGCCTCAGCCCTACAAGATCTACGAGGTCTGCTCCAATGGCCCAGCTCCCGCAGGTATCCAGCCTGGCTGTGTGTGGGCCACCAAGGGGGCTACGCACGGAGGCCTGGGGTCCCTCCAGCATGCAGTGGTTGGGGACGTGCCGCTCGGGCAGAAACCCAGGAGTGGATCACTGGTGAGGATAGGAGCATCTTGGCATGGACCAGGCCCCTCCCCACCGGGTTTGATTTCCTCACCCCATCCTTGTTCTTGGCTCCAGTGAATGCAGGTCAGGTGACCCAGGGAGGGGAGCACCGTGGGGTCAGGGGCAGGGTCCCCAGTGATTGCAGGTGGCTGAGCAGCCCTTCCCTCTGTGTTTGGGCAGCTCTGGGCAGGAGAGAAGCCACCTGGAGCCCTGAAGACCTTCCTCCCTCTCACCCACTGACTCCCTTCTGGTCTTTCATTTCTGTCTCCCGCTGCAGAGTCACAGCCCAGCGAGGATAACGCTGAGGAGGAAGAAGAGGAAGAGGTGAGTTTGGGGGCACACTTGGCAGCCTGCGCCAGTACATTGGGCCTCACTAGGCCTGGTTGCTTGTCCCACTCCACTGCAGGACTGGGCAGTTCCATTCCTCTGGAGCCTGCTGCTGTTTCTGCAGCCCTTCTCTGGGTTTCATCTCTTGGGATTCTGGGGACAGAAACAAAGTCACCACCTTGAACCTCCCTGGGACTCTGTTGGTAGAAAACATGCTCACGTATGGTCTCAGCCTCAGTAGTTGAGGCTTAGTAGGTATTCCCACCTGCAGAAGCAGAAACTGGGGCACCAAGAGCCTACTGACATGCCTGGCATGGCAGAGCTGGGCCTGAGGGTCTGGCCTCGCCTAAGATGAAGGCCAAGGAGTTGCCTTGTGGGTCTCGTTCTTCAGCATCGGATCAGTTTAATAACCTGTCCTCCCTTCTCTCTCTGGCCTCCTCGCTCCTCCTTTGCCTGTGTCTTCCCTTCAGCTCCAGAAGATGTTACCAGGCCTGAGCATCACAGGTGGGGCTGGGAGGCGGTGTGGTTGGGGGTTTAGTATAAGGAGGAGCTGCGGGGACCACAGGTACCTGGGAGGGGGCTGAAGGGAGGCTGGCGGATGGCCCAGGGCTGAGAGTAGGTGAGCCTGGAGGCAGTTCCTAGAAGTGACATTAAAATTTTGTCCACTCCCACCTTCTATAGAAGCAGTGCAGCCCGGCCCTGCCATGGCACCCTATTCTTTACCCAAAGAGGATGTTAAGTGGCCACCCACTCTCCAGCCACCTGTGGTGTTGGCCCCCCCTGCTCCAGGCCCCAATCTTCTGATCCCTGCTCCTGGCAACGCCGCTGACTTTGGGGAGGTGTTTTCAGAGGTCCTGCCGAGCTCGCACCCGCAGCCTGGGCCCCTGTCTACCAGCCTGCCCCCCACAGGCGAACAGCTCCTGCCCGACCTGTTGATCAGCCCCCACATGCTGCCTCGTAAGAACCCACGGGAGGAAGGGGAGGGCAGGCAGGGAGGAGCAGTTGGGAGGGTGGAGGGTGACGAAGAGAAGAACAAAAATGCCCATACCAGTCCCTGCATGGCTGGGAGGGAAGTGGGGAGGACTGATGATGGCCTGGCCGCAGGGCGGAGAGGGCAGGGAAGATCAGTGGGCGGCAGAATGGGGAGGCATGGGGCTCATGGGCGGGGCGGGCCTGCCTCTCTGTCCTGCAGTGACCGACCTGGAGATCAAGTTCCAATACCGGGGCCGCCCACCCCGCGCCCTCACCATCAGCAACCCTCAAGGCTGCCGGCTCTTCTACAGCCAACTGGAGGCCACCCAAGAGCAGGTGGAGCTCTTTGGCCCCGTGAGCCTGGAGCAAGTGCGCTTCCCCAGCCCCGAGGACATCCCCAGCGAGAAGCAGCGCTTTTATACCAACCAGCTGCTAGACGTCCTGGACCGTGGGCTCATCCTGCAGCTACAAGGCCAGGATCTGTATGCCATCCGCCTGTGCCAGTGCAAGGTGTTCTGGAGCGGGCCCTGTGCCTCAGCCCATGGCTCACACCCTAACCCCATCCAGCGGGAGGTCAAGACCAAGCTCTTCAGCCTGGAGGACTTTCTCAATGGTGAGGGCCCCACCTCGTGTTCCTCTGGGTCTCTTTTCGTCCAGGGGCCTTGTGCCTGCCTCTGACTAACGGTTTCGATCTCAATGCAGAGCTCATCCTATTCCAGAAGGGCCAGACCAACACCCCACCCCCGTTCGAGATCTTCTTCTGCTTTGGGGAGGAGTGGCCTGACTGCAAACCCCGGGAGAAGAAGCTCATCACTGTACAGGTATACTCCAGTCACCAACCCCCCGAACTCAGCCTTGAATATTGGAGAATCCTGGGCCCTTGCCCCAGGGTGGAGGGGCAGGGCTGTCTGGGTAGTGTGAATTCAGTTAATCGAGGACCGGCGCTGCTCACACATACGCTGCCTTTTCATGAAGTAGAAGTTGAGGCCCCTTCTGGCGGATGTAGACTACCACCTGCCCCCTGGTAACCCCCTCATGCATAACTCGATTGGACAGCCCTGCCGATCCAGACGGCTCACCCTGTCTCCTCTTCACCCGCTTAGGTGGTACCCGTAGCGGCCCGGCTGTTGCTGGAGATGTTCTCGGGGGAGCTTTCTTGGTCAGCTGACAGCATCCGGCTACAGATCTCAAACCCAGACCTCAAAGACCGCATGGTGGAACAGTTCAAGGAGCTCCATCACATCTGGCTGTCTCAGCAGCATCTGCAGCCTGTGGCCCAAACCCCTGCCATGCCTGGCCTCAGTGCTGCACAGGGACCCTGGCCCATGCACCCAGTTGACATGCAGTAAGGAGGCTGCAGGTAGTGACTGGCCCAGGTTTCCTGGGTGGCTGTGCGGAGATGTGGAGGGCAAAAGTTCCTGGGGGCACCTGATGAGCGGCAGGGTCCTATCTTGGGGTCTCCAGAAGCGAATCTGGGTCATGAAGAGGGAAAAGAGGCCCGAGTTCCAGGTTCTCCTCAGAAGCTGAGGGAAGCTGGAAGCCAGGTTTTGCTTTGAGGACTCTGCCTTCCTGCATATGTCTCTCCTGGACTGGCTCTGGGGGAACTCGGCCATCAGCACCAGTGTGGAGGGAAGGAACTCTGCCAACTCAGAGGGCCTAGTTGTACAGAGGGATTTGCCCCAGAGCAGTTCCTTCTTGTGGCTGCCTCTTTCTTCTGGCAAGAAGAGTCAAGTGCTGGGGGTCAGACCTCCCTGGCAGGTTCTCTGCAGGGCATGGGCCTGACTTTGAGGTTCCCTAGCTTTAGCGTTGATCCCCTGGGGGAGGAAATGGCAGCCTACTCCAGCATTCTTGCCTGGACAATCCCATGGACAGAAGAACCTGCTGGGCTACAGTCCACGGGTTCACAGTCAGACATGACTGAGTGCGCGCTTGTGCGCGCACACACACACACACACACACACACACACACACACACACACAGCTTGAGCCTCATTTCCTCACAACATCCAGAGACAGATTATTACACCAGATGCTAAGTCTGGCAGCTACCTCCCTTGAGAGACTAAGAACCTGGGATAGAAAGGGGACATTTATGTATTTTTGGATTAATAAATATTAAAAACAGACTCAGTCATTGTTTTTCAGTACCAGTTGCTCCCATGCTGTTTACTGGACCATATTTCTCCTGCCAGCTAGCCCTCTTTACCCCAGCACCTGCCCTCCTGCTCTGGGGCTGTTGACACAGGGAGGGCCTGCCTTCCAGGCTGATGAGTCAGCGGGGCCTTCACAAGCACTCAGCTGGCTGGCTTTGCTTTCCAGGAGGAAGCCGGCTGAAGCAAGGGTGTGGACTTTTAAATATGTGCAGAGTCTAAGATCCTGTCCAAATAAATTTTCCCATAAGAAATGGTGAAAAAGGGCTGGATCTCAACCAAGGACCATTACTATCTGTTATCCTCATGTATATTCATTCATACGCTACTAAATATATTAGGACAATGCATACAAATTGGGAGGTCACTGTTTGAATCTGGCTTATAGATGTAATTTTATGACCTGAACAATTTTGCTGTTATCTTTTTATTATGGAATATTTTTAACATCTGTGAAAGTAGGGAGAATGGTATAAAATTCCCACTAGTAGCTTCAATAATTATCATAGTCTTTCTCATCTAAATTCTCAACACTACAGTGGATAAGCTTGTGCATATTTATGTCTTTTTATTACTTTTGCCAGTGTATCTTTAGGATGGATCCACAGAAATGGGATTTCCGGGCCAAAGGATAAAAATGTGTCTAATGTTAGATATTGGCAGAATCCAGATAAATCTCTGAGTGTAGCTGTTTCCCCACAATCTCGACAGGTTATAATGTCAATTTTTTGGATTTTTGCCAATCTTGATAGGTGAGAAATAGTAACTCTACCATCTCTCATTATGAACAAGGATGAGCATCTTCATATGGTTAAGTGGCCTGTGCAGATTTTAGTGATTTAAAAAAAAAATCTTAAAATAGTTTTAGATTTACAGGAAGTAGCTAATAGAGTGCCTATATAACCCACACCCAGTTTCCCTGTTAACATCTTACACTGTAACTCACATTGCTATGGAACATTTGTCACAACTAATGAAACAAAATGCACACATCATTATTATCTAAATTCCACTCTTTATTCAGATTTCATTAGTTTTTAATCTCATACTTTTTCTGTTCTAGCACCCTATCCAAATGATCACATTACATTTAATGATGGTGTCTTCCCAGCCATCACTGATTTAACTGTTTCTCAGACTTCCCTGGTTTTTGATGACTTGGATGGCTTGGAGGGTACATTTTAGAATGTCTCTCAGTTTGGATTTATCTGATGTCTCTCATGGTTTTTTGCAAGGAAGACACAGAGATGAAGTGCCATTCTCACCAGAGTAGATGAAATAATGAAGTAGGCGACCATCCCTGGACTGACTTCTCCAATACTGCAGTGGTTGCTAAGGATCCTCCTTTGGCTTCTACTTGCATTTTGATTTCTTAAATAAAACAAAACTGAAAACGAAAAACAAAAAACCCCAGCATACCTGGCCATCATTTCCTATATGGTAACTGTGTTGTAGTAGCCAGTGGTGGATGGAACACTAGCCGCTCTACTCCCGCCCCCTCCCCGCTCTGCTGGCCCCACAATAGCAGATATTGAGTATCATTAAGTTCCAGAGTTTAAGCCAGGACAACGCGATGCCATTCACTGCTCCCTAGCTACTAGGCTCCAGTTCCACTTGGTAGTGGCCTTTGCCCTGGTGGCCTCTGCTAGTGTGAAGGTTGGAATCCACAGAATACTGATGCTTATGATCCGGAGGTTGGGGGCGGGGGGGGCAGGGAATACACCTCTTTAGCATCCAGCAGTTTCCCTCAATTCTTCAAGGCTTCTCCTCCCCAAGTTCATCCTTGTATCCAACATAATACTCCCTTTTAATTCAAGACTCCTTCCTTTTATTCAGCTTTTCACTAGCCTGAAGAACTTCTCAGCCTTTGTCCACTTGGAGAGAATATTGATAGCTTTCCCCCATTTTTGTCAGCGGAGTGTTCTCACAAGGCAACCTTCTCACTTGCTAGTAACACATCTGACCAAAATTTAGCATACCTTGTTGCAAAATTTTGGATATTTAACTTCTCTGGATTTTGGCTTTTATCCTTGTAAAACAACTTAGTACCAGGGCTACACAAGGTGGACACATACTTTGCATTCATGAGGTGTGGATGCCATCCAAAAGATACCATCTTATTTACAATACGCTCTCAAGTTATTGATCTTTATAGAACAGATACATAAAAATTACAAGTTACATCTCCTTAGTAAAATCTTGCTGGGAATAGGCCCAATGGGTGATTTGTGTTTCACACAATTATGACTAAAATCTCTTGGCTAAGTCAGTCATGGAAATAAGGGAACAGCTCCATGGGAACTTTATGACAGATTAATTGAGGTATAAGACTCATTCTACTTCCACTAGACAATGTCAAGCAGGGAGACAATATTATATTAGGATACCTGATCCCAAACAGTTCCCTTTTAAACTGAAATATAGCTGGGTATCCTTGCTATGACAAAAGTTGTTAGCAAGACTATCTGTATGAAGTAGTCTAAAGCAATCTGACACTGAAGACTCAGCAGTGAGAACAATTAACAAGAGTTCTGGTTTTCAATACTGTAGCTGTGGAGATGTTCCTGATATATACTAGGATATATATTCCAAAGGCTATTTTTTGGTGGCTGGGGAGTTGTATTAAGCTTTCCATATTTTCCAGCCCCAGATACAACTTTCTGTGATAAAAGCCAAATTCCTTAAACAGACCAAAGTCAATGGGTCATTGTAAGGACCTAAGGCTGAATTAGGCTTCAAAATTTCCAGAAAATGAGCAGGATGGCTAAGGTAACGTGCTGATCCCCAGAATTTGATCATCTTATTTCAAATACCGTTCCATGCTCAAGTTTTTTTCTCCACTTATAACACTGACTCCTTAGAGAATAAAACTCAGAGCTGATATCATGCATAGAGGTTTGTTTCAAGGACTCCAAATGCTAGATGCAACTTTGTGGTCAAGGTTATTAGCTCTAAGCCCAATTACTAGAACATGCTGTATGATCTCATTTACATAAAGCTCAGGAAAATGCAAACTAATCCACAATGACAGGAGAGCAGTGACTACTTGAGTGCAGGGGAGGATGGGAAGAGGCATGAAGAAACTTTTGGGAAAGAACTTACGTTCATTGTCTTTCTGGTTTCATGTGTGTCAGTTCAGTTCAGTCGCTCAGTCGTGTGCGACTCTTTGCAACCCCATGAACCGCAGCACACCAGGCCTCCCTATCCATCACCAACTCCTAGAGTCCACCCAAATACATGTCCATTGTGTCGGTGATGCCATCCAACCATCTCATCCTCTGTCATCCCCTTCTCCTCCTGCCCTCAATCGTTCCCAGCATCAGGGTCTTTTCAAATGAGTCAGCTCTTCACATGAGGTGGCCCGAGTATTGGAGTTTCAGCTTCAACATCAGTCCCTCCAATGAACACCCAGGAATGACCTCGTTTAGGATGGACTGGTTGGATCTCCTTGCAGTCCAAGGGACTCTCAAGAGTCTTCTCCAACACCACAGTTCAAAAGCATCAATTCTTCTGCACTCAGCTTTCTTTATAATCCAACTCTCACATCCATACATGACTACTGGAAAAACCATAGCCTTGACTAGACGGACCTTTGTTAGCAAAGTAACATCTCTGCTTTTTAATATGTTGTCTAGGTTGGTCGTAACTTTCAAGGAGCAAGCCTCTTTTAACTTCATGGCTGCAATCACCATCCACAGTGATTTTGGAGAGCAGAAAAATAAAGTCAGCCACTGTTTCCCCATCTATTTGCTATGAAGTGATGGGACCAGATGCCATGATCTTAGTTTTCTGAATGTTGAGCTTTAAGCCAACTTTTTCACTCTCCTCTTTCACTTTCATCAAGAGTCTCTTTAGTTCTTCTTCACTTTCTGCCATAAGGGTGGTGTCATCTGCGCATCTGAGGTTATTGATATTTCTCCCGGCAATCTTGATTCCAGCTTGTGCTTCCTCCAGACCAGTGTTTCTCATGATGTACTCTGCATATAAGTTAAATAAGCAGGGTGACAATATACAGCCTTGACATACTCCTTTTCCTATCTGGAACCAGTCTGTTGTTCCATGTCCAGTTCTAACTGTTGCTTCCTGACCTGCATACAGGTTTCTCAAGAGGCAGGTCAGGTGGTCTGGTATTCCCATCTCTTTCAGAATTTTCCACAGTTTGTGGTGATCCACACAGTGAGAGGCTTTGGCATAGTCAA